ACTTACTGCCGTTCTTGTCAGGGGTTTGGACCGACAGTCTGATAGGATTGCAGGGTTGGTGTGAGTAAAGTCGACCGCTTTTCTGAGGGGTATCGCTAACTCTGGGGGATGCGGTGAGTCCTTATACATCAGTCAATTGCATCCTGGGAAGACTGATCTCCTTCAACCTCCTGATGAGTCGGTGAAAGTCCAACGAAATAGTCTGGCACAGTCATGCTTTTCTTGAGTGTATAGCGAATATGACAACACACACACACACACACACACACACACACACACTCCAAAAACAAAACACACAAAAAAAAAAAAAAAACCTGACAGGTACATGACATCAATTCCAGAGTGACAGATGCTTACAGACTATAAAAGAGGAAATGGTGCTTTCAAGTTACAAGAACTGATAGCAAAAACGAATGTCGTTATCGACTCAGCGATCAACAACGAACACATCCACAGAGACATAGGCCGTCACTTTCAGTATGACTGCTCTTGCATTTGTGGTGATCGGTCTTTGAACGTGACAGAAGGTGTGTGGAGGCAACATGTTATCGAACAGTTGGAAAACCATTCTTTTTCAGAGTTTCTCTTTTTTCCCCCTCTATTTAAAGGGCGACGGCATTGAAATATCATCATTGAGCAGACCGGGCCCAGGTAATTCAGAAGTACGTTGTTCTGTTCATCTGATTGGTTCGAACTTGGGTCTGTATTTCAACAGGCCAGGGGTGTGTACCAACTGAGCTAGGCCCAATGGTGTTCTTTGTCTTTTTCCTAATGCAAAAGATAGATAAAAAAAAAATTGGCAGCGAGGGAGAGCCCAGAGAGGCACATTCACTATCAATTTTAGACGAACAAATACTTGCCACTCAGGAAATCGATGCCCACTGCCCAGTTTTTCTCTACTATAAACTTTTTCAAGTTTTTTGAACTTTTTTCTCAAAAAGTGCAGATTTAAGGACCAGTGGGACATCCATTTCTAATTAACATTAGGGAAGGGGAGGGGGGGGGGGGGGACGATACGAGAGAGGAGATCACCATAGCCCCTTTGCAAGGACGACTCACAAAAAATCGAGGAAGGATCTGACCACTGACCGCGGAAGGACAGGCCAACAGTGCATATGCATAACACAAACACAACACAGCCAAAGACTGACGAGCACGCCTCACTGGTGCTACGCTTGTGCTTGGAAAGCATGAACATGGCCATGATAGTGGCAAGGTTCGCACTTTCCTAGCATGAACACAGCACCGGTGGGCCTTGGCCCTAAGAATATAGCCCGACAAGATAAGATTCGCCAGCATGGCAGCACACACGACAAAAAGAAAATACAGCCTGTTGGGCCCACTGATCTCCTGTTGGGCCCACTGAGGTCCAGAACCTATCAGGTTGATTTGGCCTGATAAGTTTAATCCACCATTCAAATGCCGCACTGAGCTCCTGCTGCGCCGACTGACCTCCAAAACTGCACCCTTCTACTGCCCCCACCGACCTCCTAATTGGCCCACTGAGCTCCTCCTGGGCCCAATGAGCTCCTACGGGTCCCACCGAGCTCCTACTGTGCCCACTGAGCTCCAAAACCTATAATTGCGCACTCCTACTGGGCCCGCTGAGCTTCTACTGGGCCCGCTACTGAGCTGCAAAACCTGTAATTGCAATTCCTACTGGGCCCACTGAGCTCCAAAAGATTATAATTGCATCCTTCTGGATGTTGATTTGGCCTGATAAGTTTAATGCCCTATTAAAATGGCCCACTGAGCTCCTACTGTGACAACTGACCTCCAAAACTGCACCCGTCTACTGCGCCCACCGAGCTCCTAATTGGCCCACTAAGCTCCTCCTGGGCCCAATGAGCTTCAACTGGGCCCACTGAGCTCCAAAACCTATAATTGCACACTCCTACTGGGCCCGCTGATCTCCTACCGGGCCGACCGAGCTGCAAAACCTGTAATTGCACCCTCCTACTGGACCCAATGAGCTCCAAAGATTATAATTGCATCCTTCTGGATATTGATTTGGCCTGATAACTTCAATGAATATAAGCAATACCGTGTTTTGTTTGCATCGAGTTTTTGATGTTATTTGACTTTGCAAGAACTCTGACAGCAGAGCCTCTTGAGAACTCACGAGTTGTTGTAGACGGTTGCCTCTTAGTCTTTAAGTGAAGATAGGGAGACTTTACGTTCTGCTTTTACCACGCGATATTTGGGTACCTAGGAAGAAGAATCCGGAATCAATATGTGATATCTTGATTTCTTTGTTTAGCTCTAGTCCGAGCATATGCCCATTCAAATGGCCCACTGAGCTCCTACTGCGCCAACTGATCTCCAAAGCCGCCTATTGCGTCCACCGAGCTCCTAATTGGCCCACTGAGCTCCTCCTGGGCCCAATGAGCAAATATTCTTGATTTTTTTTGTTTTTTGGCTATATCAATCATTAAATTAAAAAAAAAAAAAAAAAAACTATTTTACTTCTCTTTTTAGTTCCAACTGGGCCCACTGAGCTCCAAAACCTATAACTGCATATTGAGCTGCAAAACCTGTAATTGCACCCTGCTACTGGGCCCACTGAGATCATACTGGCCCTCCCTACGCTGCAGAACCTGTACTTACACCCCCTTACTGGGGCCCACTGACCTTCAAAGTTAAAAACCTATCACTGCACCCTTCTGGATGTTGATTTCACCTCAAATGTTTAACGGCCCATTTACTGGGGCAGCCCAGGCCTGATACGTTTTTAACTGCGGCGCATTAAATGTCCACCGAGTGCACAATGAGCTGCACATTCACATCCCGATGCATCCACCACATCGTCTGCAGAACACCCCCCAACTCTCCCATGTGCCGCTGCTCCCACTGAAATCTTCCTTTTTCTTTTCTTATTCTTTTCTTTTTCTTTTCTTATCTTCTTTTCTTTTTCTTTTCTTTTTTGGTTTTCTTTATTTTACGGAGACTTATATTTATTCCAAGACAGAGCGAGGCCAGGGACCTCACAATTCCTGGGCCCACTCACTGCCATCTTCAACCCTCACCATCATCAATCTTCAGGAAGCCATCGCCACCATCAACCGCGCAGCCATATAGGCCAAAATTGCGCATCAGCTTGGAGGCAGTCGTGATTTGGGGAACAAACGGACGAGGGCCCATTTGTTTCCCATGATGTATATATTATGACATATCTATTAACTAAAAGAGTGCACTTCGTGAAACAAACAATAAAAAGACACAAGCCAAACATGAAGAGCAACTGAAACCATTCATTATTATCATATCTATGTATATGTTAAAGAAAAAAAAAAAAAAAAACTTATTAAAAAGACACAAGCCAAACATGAAGAGCAACTGAAACCATTCATTATTATCATATCCAATCTATGTATATGTGTATGCTTCCCTACTGGTGGGGGTTGAACTGGGGTGATGATCCCAACAAGAGACCTCTAACAGCATCTCCTGCCAACAACAAAACCCAAAAAAAAAAAAAAAAAAGTGCTCCACTCAAACATTTATCAGTCCTGACCAATTGCTAAACTAAACTTTGGATCAATCCAATGAGGGTGATTGTTGGTTAGCAGAAAACTCACGCGCGCTTTTCGCGTCCAAACTTGACGAGATCTTCTATGTCAAGTGGTTCAGCTTCCAAATCTGGGTCCCCTTTACACTCTATTGTGGTGCAAAATTCCAAATGGAGACAACAATACAAGCATGATCAATTTGGATGTGTCCAAAAAGGAAAGGGAAGCATGTCCAAAAAGGAAAGGCAGAGCAAGCAAGATCAATTTGTAATACATGCTCATGCGCGAATAAAATTCTTGAGCTGCTTTTCCTTCTTTTTCTTTTCTTGTCTTTTTACCTCTTGAGATTTTGACACAAGGCAGACGACAAGAGTGTCACAACTCTTTTTGTGACAAGTTTTCACTCTGGGGTAGGGAAGTATCAGTCTATCAGATACATTCCCGCCCCGATGTTTACCAAGTTATTAACGCTACCATCTTCACCCGAGTAGAACGCCTGGTGATTATAGCTGTACCTGGGGCTTGCTTCCAGTCTAGGTAAAGCTACTGCGCGTTCAATTCAGGTGAAGAGGGTAGGATCCAGGTTCGGTCATGATGCAAAACTCAAGTTTGAGACAAGTATAGGAATCACAACACAAAGAAGAAGAGTAGGGGAGGAAAGAGAGAGGGAGAGAGAGTGGTTGAGAACAGAACAAGAAGATTGATTACAATTTACAAGAATATTTCAAATGATCAACTCCCTTGCATCTCGCCACCACATCATCCCAGAAGAAGAGTAGGGGCGACAAGCGTAGGGGAGAGAGAGAGAGAGAGAGAGAGAGAGAGAGAGAGAGAGAGAGAGANAGAGAGAGAGAGAGAGAGAGAGAGAGAGAGAGAGAGAGAGAGAGAGAGAGAGAGAGAGAGAGAGAGAGAGAGAGTGGTGAGAAAACAACACGAAGATTACAAGAACCCTTCAAATGGCCCACTTCCTTGCCACCACATGATCACGTGCACATATCCACCTGCAGGGTCATTCATGATGCAAAACTCAAGAAGACAGCAATTCAGGGTTTGTTAACAGAGCCCTACATTTGCAGGGTTTTAACAAAATTAGGGTTTGTTAAAAGAGCCCTAAATTTGCAGGGTTTTAACAAAATTACGGTTTGTTAACAGAGCCCTAAATTTGCAGGGTTTTAACAAAATTCCCACACCTTTTAAACCAAACTTCTCACCAATCCACACGATAGACAGCAAATCTACCAACAAAGAGAGGGGAAAAAAAAAAAAAAGTAAAACACAAAGACAAAAGGAGCCTACCGTCTTCAGCAGTATAGGACATCTGGACTGCAAGTTGCACCAAATAAGGCTATCATGACCGGGCCTTCTATTCGCATGAAGACGGTAGTGTATGAATCACAACAAAGAGAAAGGGGGAGAGAGCTAGAAAGTGGTGAGAAAGAAGAAGAAGAAGAGTGCAAAAATTAAGTAACCACCCCCTCTCACCTTGCCACCACATCATCACCCCCCCATCTCCTCCTCTTATACAGCTTATCAATAACCAAGGAAGGAGATGACTCGCTGGACATGAAGGGAGAGCTGGAGGGAGGTGGTTTTCCACCGCATCTGCTGCCTGGAGGAGTGGTCATTCTCAAGTGTAGTCATTGCCTAGAAGAGATGCATCAGAAATTATTCTTGGTTCAATCATGTATTTGTCATTGGTTATCTCTATACATACTAAAGGATGGAGAGGGCCCGACGACATGCCCTGTCGCGGGCCCAGCGAAATTCGGAGGAGGCCGAAATTGGGCAGCAGGACGCCGGAACTGGGCAATGGGACCAGGGTCCAGGCCTCAGCGGAGGAGAGGCCCATGAAATTGCTGGCTTGCAGGCGGGCGACAGCAGACGGCGGAGGGGCGATAGCGGCGCAGGCGGGCGATAGCGGACGGCGGAGGGGCGATAGCGGACGGCGGAGGGGCGATAGCGGGCGGGTGTGCGAAATAGTCAGGTGCGCGCGCGGGCAGTGGGACCGCAAATGTTGAGGCGGGGTCCAGGCTGGCGGAGGGGCGAGGCGCGATTTTGCTCATCCTCGGCCAACAGGAAAGTCTCCAACCCCTTTGTGTGTGTGTTTCTCTCTCTCTCTCTCTCTCACACACATACACACAAACACACACACACACACACACACCCACATAACGGTAGATTCATTCGATTTTGCTCATTCTCGGTCAACAGGCAAATCTCGCACTCCTTTGTGTGTGTGTGTATGTGTGTGTGTGTGTGTGTATGCGTGTGTGTGTGTGTGTGTGAGAGAGAGAGAGAGAAAGAGAGAGGTACTTCCATCGATAGGGTGAGCAAAATCGAATGAATCTGTCGCTAACACACCCCAAAAGAAAAAAGTGTCGCAGTGTATATTTCCATGTTGTAGCGGTAGATTTTGCTCATCCTCCGCTAACGGGTAAGTCTCGCCAGAAGATGGAAATATACACTGCTGCACGTGTGTGTGTGCGTGTGTAGAAACGTCATCCTATCCAT